GGAAGGGGGCGCACCTTCTGAGCAGCCAGCTGAGGTAGCGGTGTGCTCTGTGAACCCTGTACAGAGGGTGAAGGTGCACACACACTTCTGGCAGCTCCGGTAAGTGTAATTGTCTGTGGACGTAGTATGTGTATAGACTAGCAGTGTCGGTGGAAGGGTATGCCATCTCCATTGTGATGTGATTTGTGAAGGTCCGTGTACTGAGGAGAGAACTCTGACAATGCCCGGACTGGGAGATAATACAAGAGCAGTGGCAGCAGTTCCTGTACTTGGTGTGGGCACTGCAAGTGTCAGTGTTCCCTGTACAAGGTAAGGGAACTACAAGTGTCAGCAGTCCCTGTATTGTGTGAGGGGCACGCCAAGTGTCAGTGGTCCCTTTGCACAGGTATGTCAAGAGAAATTCCATATTTAAAACTAGAAAATCTACAATTTCTGGGGAAATTGTGTGAAGTGTTCTTGCCTGCAGCAGTAGTATACAACTGGAGCGGGCGGAGTAGCCTTGGTCACTCTGCTGACACAGCTGGGTTGCTATGGCAACTCACTCTAGTGCAAGCTGAGAGGAACATTTATAAACACACTGCTCCAACCTGCTCACTTCACTGGCGGTTGCCATCTTCAAACGGTTGTAGTTTTAAAAGTATAAATCCTACAGCAAAGAGCTTTATATTGTGAGAATCACAAGACCCAGACCTACATGTTGGTGCATAGTATGTCTCTGAAATATGAAGGCACATGAAGGCACAGTCGCAGTTTAGATATGTCCCTTCAAATTTCTGGTGGCTGCGAGTGAAGTTTCAATGAAAGTCAATGGGCGGCGTGAGTTGCAAACAAATGGTCATATTGTAAAAACTATCAGGACTATGGCTTAGCCGTGAACATTTTTAGTGGCAGCAGGGATAGCTGAACGTTTTTATATAAGATATGTGTAGGTGGGCTTGAAAATGAGGGAGTGATGGTAGTTTAGAAATCATGTCCTGATTTTTCCTTCCACACTCTAGCTTTGTCAGCTCCCACTGAAGTTGCTCCATTCATTCCTATGGGAAAATTTTACCACAAAAACCGCGATATTTCGTGAACCATTCAGGGAATCGTTCCACAAAGTAATAGCAATCCGATCGGGAACAATCTGCACGTTTTTGATATATTACTTGTCTTTGTAGTGTAAAAACTGTGGGAGGAGTTAGTGTGGTAAATGTGGCTATAATAAAAATAAGAATATATTTGTGAGATAACAATAAGTGTTCTTCCAAGAACACTTAATAAACCTGCTGAGGAGAAGACCTTGCCTGGACAGGGCCAACACAGACCGCTCACCTCCCGCTATGCGGCCATGCCTGTGTCTCCCCTCCTGACTCTCCTGCCCCACCAACAATGTCATCCTGTCGTAGGATAGGGGGCGGGAGAAGCTGAGAACTGCACAGAGGGGGAGTCTTTTCATATTAACAAGCGTGTAATCACCCACTTGTTAATATGATCCAGATCTACAGCTCCTCCTGCCCCCTTCCCTGCTGATAGGATTATATTTTCGGCGAGGTGGGAGACCCTGCGAAGGGCATACAAGCTGAATCTTGCCAAAGGTAGGAGACTGTGCAGGGTAGGCAGAGAGTAAAAGGGGGCACTGTGATTAGAGAGAAAAAGGGGGCTGGCATGACCACAAGGGGCACTGTGATGTGGGCTGTGAATGCTAGGGGCATTGTAATGTAAGGAGGCACTGTGATATAAAGGGGACTGCACTGTAAAGGGACACTTCAATCATTACATTAATCATTTTTATCCTAGTGCCCCTTCACATTACAGTGCAGAGGACTGACTCCGTGAATATCTCGTCATCAACTGACACCCTCCCCCCGGGCTCTAGAATAAATGGTAGATGTCATTAATGGTAGTTGTCATCTCAGTCTAAAATGCTGAGGCCTACTTATTGTCCCAGTCTGGGCCTGCTCCCTAGCACCAGAGGGGTTTAAGTAACACAAAGTCTCTATCCTTTAGGGGTGTCTGTACTCATAAGGCCCAGACCAGATCTTCAGTAGAAGGCCCCTCAGTTAGCTCTAGCAAAACCCAGGTCTCAGCATTCAGGACCTCAGGTCGCCAACCTGAGGCCTACAGAAGTAGATGCAACAGCGGTGCCTGGGAGGGCAGCATGCCGTCTCCAGGCTGGATCAATCCTATACAGCAGTGGTCTCTAAACTGCAGCCCAGGGGCCAGATGCAGCCCTTTGCTTGCCTTTATCTGACCCTTGGGGTAACATTTCTCCAACAGATACAAGGCACTATTCTTCAAACTGGCACCACCAATGGCAGGGCTGTCTTAATGGATGTGCATCTTTGGGCACTGCCCAGGGGCCCCAGGTGCATGGGGAACCCATGATAATCTTGCATTACAGCATAATTGCAAACTGTCCTGGATTTGCCGGGACAGTCACTCTTTTTACTGAGCTGTCCCGGGATGGCCCAGGCAGCTTCCCAGAACCAGTACTGTGCCCTTCAGTGTGCTCACTGAATATATACAGTTGCCCAGCATGCCATCAGAGCCAGTCTCTCTGGGATAGGCCAGGGCTGTATCAGTATTCATGCTGCCATCTGCGGAGCTCCACGCCTATCATCAGGAAACTTCTCAAGCTCTCTGGATGCAGAAGGAGCTTTTAGCATGGCTGCAGCTGATCACACTGAACAGACCTAACTAACAGAACATAGCAGCACTGATTACAGTGTGCAAGTTATGCTTTTACCTAACAACAATTACAGCCACGCTGACTACAGCGTGACAACTAAATTCACCTATCAAAACACATACTAAATCTTATCTGTCTAAACCTACCACCTATCTAGGAGGGTGCTACATACTGGATATATTCAGTATATCTCTACAATACATGCAAGTGTCAACCCTGCCCATCTATTTTTTGCTAAACTACTCAAACCCTCCCACTCTCTTTGTCTCTACAACATAGAAATTAATTATTCTGTAGTACAAGAGCTAGGAGGGCTAAGTAGATGCTTTGGAACACACGAAGTGTGCACAAGACAGAACAGCTCTGAATTTTTGACATGTTCAAAGGGTTTTTTGACATTTATCAAACGGATATATCCAAACATTTTCAATGGTGTATTTAACAGAGTGAAAGAGTGCAAATCAGAGAAGTTTACTGTTAGGGTTTACATACACTTTAGGAAACTCTCCTCACCCCCTGTGCTTCCAAAGTAAAAATGTGCTTTTTGTTTACATTTGATGTTCATTTTAGCAGAGCAGTAATAAGCAGCACTGCACAGTAGGACAGCACACTGACACAATCAGTAATTTATTGCTTTGAACAGTGCTGTCACCTTAGCACTGTAAACATGTTGGCAGGAAGGAAAAAACATCATCAATGCAATGCTGTGCTGTATATATCACATAGACTGACATGTACAATGTTTCTCGAAAGAATTGTCGCTCACTCATGTGTATGTGTGTAAATGTCAACTTGAGCTATTGCACTCTGTAAATAACCGGCTTTTCCAAAGTCCTTTGGCGGGTTCAACAGTTTACATACTGTATATGTGATTCTTGTCTGTGGATGGTTATCCCTCCTTGCCTATATAATATTTGGAATGTGTTTTCTTTTTTGTTAATGGCACATGAAGGTTATAGGATGTTATACAGTATGTACTGGAAATGATTTACAACATATGTTTTATCAACTAGGGCCAATTTTAAGGCCGACTCAGAATATGCTAATGCGTATTGACAAAAAACTTCTCTTTTAGGTCAAGTTACAGAAGCAACAGAATGAGTCAAATCATGACATGCAGCTGGCTGTACAGACCTGCACAGATCTGCAAGCACTTCCCCAACTGTACGTTGGATGCATGAATACAAACACACTCTGGGATGCGCCTGGAAATCTATGCAGGTCCATGCAGCAGGCTACCTGTCATTTATTTGAACAGGCAGCATGCAAACGGCTACACAATAACCTATGCGTCCTGTGCAGGTGAAGACATCGGTACACCCCTGTGAATGAGGCCTTAGCAACTGGTACTAAATTTTGCCCACTTGTTAGTAAGGCCCTTGTAATACTCTCTGTAATAAGGTTGTACAGTGCGTAGGAAGGGCAATATCAGGTAACAGCATCACCACCATCAGAACAAAAGGATTTGTGTTTTGTCTGTCTGTGGGTTTTGTGGGCGAGCTACAAGCCACGGGCTGCTTGTTTCCTGAGTCAGCACTATAAATCTAGCATTAAACCAGACTCTACCTACATTATCTTGGCCTTTCAAACTTTGAACATTTGTTAAATATCTGTTTTTTTTTCTTAGTATTTACATATGTTTTTTTTTACTATGTATTCAACTAGATATTTTGTATGATCCTATGTTTACGTCATGAGTGTTGAACGTGAAAAAACTGTTGTTTTCAATTATTTTATATATGATGGCAATTATAAAGATCTGACGAATAATGAGAGTGGCTTGCGTAGAGAGAGAGACAAGATCAGGGGATAGTTGGCTAGACATGGAATGAGTATTTGGTGAACCTGTGCCACTCTGAGAGTATTGTTTAAATCTGTGCTTGTGTCTGACTAGTAAGTTAAGTAGGGGTAGTTCTATCTTATCAATATTATATTGCATACCAGAAATCAAAGGGGAGAGCTGACATGTGAGGAGCAAAGAGCATACCCTGCCGAGAGTTGTAAGGATGTTTGTATTATGAAGATATATGACAATTGAGGTAATGGACCCCACGAAGCTCTCAGATTAGAACCTTTAATCCTACGTATTTAACGATCATAAGGATCAGCATAGGGATCAGGAGGGTATTCAGATCACTTTGGAGCCCACTATTAAGAATAATGTTGCAGTGTAAACATATTTTGTTGATTAGTTAATTTATGGGTATCAAAACAGGGGTTTCTTGGTGTTTGAGTTTGCTGCAGACGTCTACACTTACCATGTTTGCTATGTACTACCAACCCTGTGGTTGCTGTGATTGATAGCAGCTAGAGTCTGTGTTGATGGGTATGCAGGTGCGGACTGACCATTTGGAAACTCGGGCACTGCCCGAGGGCCCGGGGTCAGTAGGGGGCCCCATGAGATGCCCCTGGTACCTTTTTCATAGGCTTTTTTGAGTTTGGGCAAGGACACAGGGACCCCATGATCCCCTATTGCCCGGGGGCCCCATGAGTTGTCAGTCCGCCCCTGTGGGTATGACATTATGACGTACCCTGCTGTCTAAGTGAACACACTCCCCTACCCTCACTGTGTCCTCAGAGTTAGAACTTCCCATCCTGTCTGTGTCCCTAATGCACATGCTGTCTACTCAATAGTTTGGGGAAGCAGTGTAGAGCAATCCAAAGCCATCAGTATTGAAGAGCAAGTAAATTATAGGCACACATATTTATAAACAATGCTTTATCAGAGTGTATTACTTTAAAAACATTTGAGTGTGTAGCCCTCTGCCATATACGCCATCATTTTTATTATAGAGGAAGAGACTGGGCTGGTAAAGAGACTAGGTTTACACAGCTTCATCCAACATTTTTGGATTTTTGTATGCAGGAGAAACAAGAGTTTTGCAGGAAAAACACACATTGCATGTGGTTTGCATGCAGTTTTCAGGACCTTTCACTATAGCAGCCATAACCACATGACACTGCCCCAAAAAAGCTCATTTACTTTTCAGAGTTTCAAGTGAGAAAACTCAAGGAGCCCAAAGCTCAGGTGTGATTGGACACCATAGGATGCGATGGGATAACTCATGATGAGCATCAAAGCACTTCTAGAAAAGCGCTTCAAAGCAATCAGGTGTGAACCAAGGCTACATGTGTCTTAAGTCTACCCAGATTCCCAGCTTTATTATCAAACTTAAAGCTTACAGCCTTCTCCCAGCCATCCAAAAAGAGCAGAAAACACAACAGCAAGTGTAAACAAACCATTTGTCAGTACTGCACTACCAGGCAGGGTAAGAAAAAGTAGTCCCATAGAGAACAAAACGTAGGCAGATGCAGTTCCAACCTACAGGGGTAGGGTAAGATGAAATTTGTAGGAGAGTCATGAGTCAAATCCAGAGAGTCAGTCAAGGCAGACTTCATTGTACAATCTGAAGTCAAAATTGGGATTCATTGAGATGTTGACAGATGAAGTTTGTTACAGGAAGAAGGGTCAGCCTCACACCGGAGGATTGATGAATGCAGATTAGGCACGAGATTGTGTGAAACGCGTTAACAGGTGCTGTATTCATGTCCTGGTGTTCTGTGTGTCCTATGGATTAATAAATATACACTATAGTCATCAATCCTCAGATGTGCGGCTGACCCTTCTTCCTGTTGCTTCATGTGTGGTGGCGAGCCAGAGCCTGCATCTTTTGTTGATTGATTTGGATTAATTTGCCTGAGTGGTATACCTCTGTTCTTTAGATGAAGCTTGTTAAAGGCACAAATGTCCAGAGAAGCCAGAGGAAGAGCACACAGTTTGTATATTTTGGGGCATGCTACTGCTCCCTCTAGCCCCACTGCCCCATGCATTGGGTCTAGGTGTGCCTTTTGGTTAATACAATTTAGCATTCCCATCTATGCTCTGTGTAACTAATGCCATGCAATGGCTGTTCCCTGAAACTTTAGACTTAATTTTTGGAGCCTTGCGCTATACCCCAAAGGAGTCTGCAAAAAAGTGGAATGCTATTTGTGATACTTTTCAGGACATGCTTTTCAGGTATACTCCCTTCTTCTAATGTCCAAGCAGTGTTCAATGGACTCTAAATCCTACTTCTTCTTTTCAAATCCTTAACTTTGCTTGAACAAGAAAACAGCACATATCTGACCCTTTCACATTGTACAAAACATGATATTGTCACAACTGTTAATAAGGGAACCATGCAGACAGCAATGTATGGCAATGCTTCTTTTATTTTTTACCACATTTCACTGCCATTGACAGCCTACTCTTAAAGTAAATTAAAGCGGAGTTCCAGCTGAATTAAAAAAAAAAATAAAAGTCAGCAGCTACAAAAACTGTAGCTGTTGACTTTTAAAATGCAGCCACTTACCTGTCCCTCAGTCCAGCGGTGTCATCACCACCACTGGTTTTACTGGCCGTCTTCTCTCCCCAGCTCTGTCATGTCAGTGTGGGCACCCAGCTGTGACAGCTTGCGGCTTTAAAGCCCGGTGCTCACTGCGCATGCGTGATGAGTGCTGCACTTTGTGAATGGCCCGTAGTCTTCTGGGACCTGTCACGTGTCCCAGAAGACTACATGGAGGGAGGACAACTTCCACTTCAGATTGTCTTAGGCGATCGCACTGGAAGTGGGAGAGGGTACCTGATAAATTTGGGTACCCGCTCCCCAAAGGTGCCAATCCTTAATGGGGAGCGAGGGACAAAGACTTAAAGTGGAACTTCCTCTTTTGGGTGAAGCTCCGCTTTAAATAGGTTAAGGTTATTAAACATAGTTTAGTTTAACCACCTGCCGACCGCAGATAGCCGAATGACGGCTACACTGCGGCCGGCCAGTTCTGGGAGGGCGTCATATGACATCCTCCCAGAATGCGCTCTCCTGCACGCACACGGTGATCTCCGTGATCGCTGTGTCCTACGGACACAGCTGATTACATGATGTGATTGGCCTTTTACCACGTGATCAGCCGTGTCCAATGACACGCTGATCACCGGGAAATGCAATTGCCGGTTCTCGGCTGCACTTTCCTCACGCTGTCAGATCGTGAGAAAAGTACTGCCGAAAACCAGCAGTTGTCAGAGCAGGGATCAGCACCAATCATCAGGGCACTGATGATCAGTGCCCTGATGATCGGTGCCCAGCAGTGCCACCCACCAGTTCCGCCCACCTGTGCCCAGCAGTGTGCCCACCTGTGCCCAGCAGTGCACCCACCTGTGCCACCAGCAGTGCCACACACCTGTGCTCAGAAATGCCACCTACCTGTGCCCAGCAGTGCCACCCACCTGTGCACACCCACATGTGCCCACCAGTGCCACCCACTTGTGCCTGCCAGTGCCACCCACAAGTGCCCATCAGTGCAGCCCTGCAGTGCTGCCAGTCAGTGCCCAGTGGTTGTGCCAGTCAGTGCCCAGCAGTTGTGCCAGTCAATGCCTAGCAGTGCTGCCAGTCAGTGCCCAGCAGTGATGCCAGTCAGTGCCACCTATCAGTGCTGTCTATCAGTGCCACCTATCAGTGCCGCCTATCCGTGACACCTCATTAGTGCTGCCTATCAGTGCCGCCTATCCGTGCCACCTCTATAGTGCTGCCTATCAGTGCTGTCTATCAGTTCCCATCAGTGCTGCCTATCAGTGCCCATCAGTGCCACCTATTAGTGCCCATCAGTGCTGCCTCATCAACACACATCAGTGAAGGAGAAAAATTACCTGTTTGAAAAATTTTATAATAGAAACAAAAAACTTTTTTTTTTTCAAATTTTTTGCAATTTTTTTGTTTATAGCGCAAAAAGTAAAGTGCCCAGTGGCGATTAAATGCCACCAAAAGAAAGCTCTATTTGTGAGAACAAAATGATAAAAATTTCATATGGGTACAATCTTGCATGACCGCGGAATTGTCATTCAAAGTGCGACAGCGCTGAAAGCTGAAAATTGGCCTGGTAAAGTAGGGGGTATAAGTGCTTGGTAGGCAAGTGGTTAATAATAGATTTAGAATTTAAAGTTCTTAAAAAACAACCAACAACTAATTCCCTTAGTTGCCAGAATAGCAATTATAAGACCAAAGAGACTATGGGTGATCACATTTTAATATGCAGCCTTCTCCTAGAGTTTTAAGCCATAAGAAATAAATAAGTTACATCCCAAACTATTTCATTAACCACTTGCCGACCGCGCATAGCCGAATGACGGCTGCACCGCGGCCGGCTAGTTCTGGGTGGACGTCATATGACGTCCTCCCAGAACGCGCTCTCCTGCGCGCCTACGGACACAGCTGATCAGGAGATGTGGTGAAAGGCCGATCCCACCGGCCTTTTACCACGTGATCAGCGGTGTCCAATGACACGCTGATCACAGGAAAATGCAAGTGCCGGTTCTCGGCTGCACTTTCCTCACGCTGTCAGATCGTGAGGAAAGTACTGCCGAGAACCGGCAGTTGTCAGAGCGGGGATCGGCACCGATCATCAGGGCACTGATGATCAGTGCCCTGATGATCGGTGCCCAGCAGTGACCCCCGCAAGTTCCTCCCAGCAGTGCGCCCACTAGCCCCGCCCACCCATGCCCAGCAGTGCCCCCACCTGTGCCCAGCAGTGCCCCCACCTGTGCCACTCTGCAGTGCCACCTACCTGTGCCCAGAAGTGCCACCTACATGTGCCAGCAGTGCCACCCACCTGTGCCCACCCACCTGTGCCCACCAGTGCCACCCACCTGTGCCCACCAGTGCCACCTACCTGTGCCCACCCACCAGTGGTGCCCACCAGTGCCGCCCACCAGTGCAGCCCAGCAGTGCTGCCAGTCAGTGCCACCAGTCAGTGCCCAGGGGTTGTGCCAGTCAGTGCCGCCAGTCAGTGCCCAGAAGTGATGCCAGTCAGTGCCGTCTATCAGTACCCATAATCAGTGTCACCTATCAGTGCCGCCTATCAGTGCTGCATATCAGTGCCGCCTATCCGTGACCCCTAATTAGTGCTGTCTATCAGTGCCGCCTATCCGTGCCACCTCATTAGTACTGCCTATCAGTGCCCTTTAGTGCTGCCTATCAGTGCCCATCAGTGCCGCCTATCAGTGCCCATCAGTGCCGCCTCATCAACGCAAATCAGTGAAGAAGAAAAAATACCTGCTTGAAAAATTTTATAAAAGAAACAAATAAACTTTTTTTTTTTTTTTTTCAAATTTTTTGCACTTTTTTTAATTTATAGCGCAAAAAGTAAAGCGCCCAGTGGCGATTAAATACCACCAAAAGAAAGCTCTATTTGTGAGAAAAAAAATGATCAAAATTTCATATGGGTACAATGTTGCATGACGGCGCAATTGTCAATCAAAGTGCGGCAGCGCTGAAAGCTGAAAATGGCCTGGTAAGGAAGGGGGTATAAGTGCCTGGTAGGCAAGTGGTTAAGGAATAAATGAGTGTAGAGGTAAAAGCCCTGTCTATTTATTTTTGTTGTCTGTGCCCCATTGGAGAGATTTCCCTTCACCTTCTAGCCTGGATGACACAACAGGATATGAAAGGTAATATATATGGTTAACACAGTTGGGGCAGCACAGTGGCTAAATGGTTAGCACTTTCATCTGGCAGTACTAGGGTTGTTGGTTCCGAATCCCAACCACGGCACCACCTGCCTGGAGTTTGCATGTTCTCCCTGTGCCTGCATGGGTTTCCTCCAACACTCCAAAGACATGCTGGTAGGTTAATTGGCTACTGTCTAAAGTGGCCCTAGTTTGTACAGGGGCGGACTGACAACTCATGGGGCCCCTGGGCAATAGGGGATCATGGGGCCCCTGTGTCCTTGCCCAAACTCAAAAAAGCCTATGAAAAAGGTACCAGGGGCATCTCATGGGGCCCCCTACTGACCCTGGGCCTTGGGCAGTGCCCGAGTTTCCAAATGGTCAGTCCGCCCCTGAGTATGTATATGTCTGAATGTGTATGTATGAATGCAAGTTAGGGACCTTAGATTGTACGCCCCTTGAGGGTTAGGGACTGATGTGAATGTACAATATATATATATGTGTAAAGCACTGTGTAATTTGACAGCGCTATATAAGTACCTGTAATAATAATAACACTGAAACAGGTATCACCATTGGAAGATTTACCATTTCTTTTTCTGTGACAACTAAAAAAACATTGGATTTCCCACCACTTGGCAGTGGTCACCGGGGCAAATTGAAGAGCGAGTGAATCCATCTAATATGGATACAAATTACAACTTGACAGGGGTTCTAATTCTTTTCTATCCAAAACTTAAAAAAGCCATGCACACATTTTAGAAGTCGCTTGTCTTGCTAGTAGGTCATACGCCCTATTTGCTCTTCTTCCCCCTTGTTGTCTTCCTTTCTTTTCTTTCTTCTTCTTTCTAACCAACTGTTCCACTTCTAGCTTATCTTCTTCCGCCAAACGCAATTTCTGTCTTTCTCATACAGGTCTCTAGTATTAAGAGTTCCGCATTGACTTCTGCCATTACAGAAGAGTCTAACTGCTGAAAATTCAGTTGCAAGAAACCAGACATGACCTTACCTGTTTTTTAGCTTTCTTTAACACACATTTGCAAAACACACATTTAGGTGGATTTTCTGGGAAAAAAATAGAGAAAAGTGAAGGTACACCTAGCTTAGTGAATAAAATAAAGCTGTGTTTACCTCATTCATCCAACCACACGCAAAGCAACAATCCTATATTATTTCTTTTGCACATACTTGGGGGTACAAAATGGCCACCTTATTCCCAACACTAAATTATTATCCACTATCCATTTAGTAAATTAACCCCATTCTCTCTTGGCTACTTTGTGCAATTTTAATAACCTTTAATCAAAATATCATAAACAATAATTTAATTCAATAAATTTAACACAAATCCAGATATACAACATATGACTTTTTGATATTATACAATAGCGTCAAGTGAGCATTGTTTGCCTAGCGCCATCTTTTGTAAAGTACAATGTGAGGTGAGTTGGGTCGAAGCAAACCTTTCTTCACTTTGAATGTCCAACGTTAAGGAGAGCCTTTTTTTAAAAAAAAAAAAATATAGCAAAAGATTGAATGGTCGAAGGGATCTTCGATTCCCTTCATTTAACAGTTTAGCAATTCAAGGCCACATTTAGGTTTTCTCACAGTAAGAGCTGTAAAAATGTGAAATAGACTCCCTCAAGAGTTGGTTCTGGCCAGCTCAGTTGATTGCTTTCAAAAAGGCCTGGATTCTTTCTTAGATACACAGAATATAACTGGATACTAACATTTATAGGTAAAGTTGATCCAGGGAATATCCCATTGCCTCTTGGGGGATCAGGAAGGATTTTTTTTTCCCAGCATGAGCAAATTGGATCATGCTTTGCTGGGTTTTTTGCCTTCCTCTGGATCAACTGTGGGTATAGGTAACTTTTTTTTTTTTTAATGGCTGAACTGGATGGACTTTTGTCTTTTTTCAGCCAGACTATGAAACTGTAGCGAGCAAAATCCTCTTGTATTGTGTTAACATATTAGTATTTTATGTAGATTTTATACCATGGAATGGTGCTTTGTATATTACCAAATAAGCGGACATTATACAATTTTTTTTTTTTGCTGCATTTTAATCATGGTCTACTGTAATTATTCTAATTATAGCTTGTAGAGGGTTAATTAACACAAATGAAAAAGTGCCTTACAGGCAAAAAAAGAAAACCATTTTAGGTTATTGCTAGGATTGGGGTTTATTTTTGGAGCCTCCTTTTGCGCTGTTTACCGAGATGTCTACATTTGTCAGTCACTAGCCACACATCCTACTACCCTTGCCACAATGATACATTACAAAGGGAAAGTAAGGGGATGGCAGTAAAATGATATAGAAACCAGAAAGAACTGATTCACCCAACCAATATATATATGTGTAAGCAGGAGTGAGACCAGGTTACATGTACCTTTTTCATTCTGTGTCTGCTCCTCTTTTGCTGACCATTTAAGTGCACATTTTGGAAGCTTTCATTTAGCTTTTGATTTATAACATGATTTCATAGAGTTCAATCATTCATGGTACCTAGTCAAACACAAATTTTATTGTTTCATGGTTGGGTGACCAAATGATTAAAAATTTAGTATAAATTGAGTCCAAGTGACTTTAGACTGCCATTGCAGTGCTTTCGATTTAATTCCTCAGCAACTTTGATCTTTTTTTTGCTTCATAACTGGAAAAGATGGATAAATATAAGGGGATTGCTAGAGTTGAAAGACAATAAACTTTGCAAAATTGCCTTGAGTATTCCAAGTTGTAGTTTCACTTCAGCAGACTGCATTACTGACTGCTATGCTTTTAATGCACACTTGTAATAAGAGAAATACATGTTATAGCTGCCACGTCTGACCTCTCCATCTGCAGTTGCCGGTTTTTCTGGCTGTCAGGCTGATACTTAGGCTTTAAAGTGTTACTAAACCTAGGATGCTGCATTCACTATATCTGGTCTCCCACAGTACACAGAATGGGGAAATGCTATTATTTTAGTAAATATAAACTGCTAAATACCTTTTCTCATCAGCAGTATATAGCAGACATGTGACTTCTTCAGTGTCCAGCAGAGCACTGGTTAAAGCTCGTAGGAGGAGTTTTCATTCTCCCTTGTTTCTCCTATGAGGCTGCATAACCCCTGACCTTCTGTCTGGACAGTGCTGATTGGCTCTGTGCTGATTACATGCACTGTCCTAAGGGAAAAAAACACTCTCCAGCCATCCACACTAAACCAGCATGTGCAGCTGGTCAAAGCTCTTTTCTATCAGCAGATGGATTGAGGACAGTAGAAGAAGGGGAGGATCAGAAAAGACAGGATCAAACAGCCGTTTTACACAATGCAGAGCATTAACCCCTTAGGTCCCACAGTGAGTATAACATGCATGCTTTACTGTATATACAGACTGATTTAACTGTTGTGGGTTTAGTAACACTTTAAACTTCCTGACTGACTTGGAAAAATAGAGACAATGAATTCTGACTTTCTTCAGACTTTAATATCAGTGACTCTTTAAGTTTTAAAACAAGACACAGTCAGGGAACTAGCAATTTAGGAGACATAGGTTGGCCACCCAAACATTTATCTCCTGAGATGCACTTTAACCCTTTCTCTGCTGCTATAACTATTCTGGTAGAACATCAGGTTAGTAACCTTTGCTGTGGCTGCATTTAAACATAATGCAAGGTCATCGTGAACTTGCAAGTTGATCTTGAACTTGCACTGACATGGTACGTAGAGTACCAACATGAGTAAGCGCCAACAGAGCGCAAAACGTATCAAATTTCCTTCAGTCCCCACAGTGTCTCTTCTGCTACAGTATGGTGATTGTATATTTGCAATTAAAGTGGATACTTTTCATAGTGCAGTTGTCTAGATGTCTTGGAGCTCAATTTTTTACATTTCATTGGAATATTGTAGTTTACATGGGGTTCATGTACACTAGCAACAGTTAGATTGCAATTTAATAAAAAAAATACAACTTTTCTGAATATGCTTTGATATACTGTGTATACGTAGAAAACAATGAATCCTGTCTTTTTGCTGTACAGGATGTCAAATTGCTTTGCAAGCTACTATACAAACTGTGAACATAACTATGGCAGTAAAAGCATTATAGCCTGTTTATTCTACCTGTGCTTCTGCCATTATGTAAAATGACTAGGTAAAACATTGTGTTATCCTGTCTCAACCCCCTTAATAAACAGTGAACAATTATGTGTGGTGAAATTAAAGCTACATTCAAAGACATTGCAACACTTTTGACGGTTTTGCATGTTTCACAACTTTTAATGTGTTATTAAA